ACCTGAGTTTAAATCTGGCCTCAAATCCTTATTGTCTGTGTGACTTTGGGCAAGTCACTTAATCTGTTTGCCTCAATTTCCTCAAGTATAAAATGGAGATCTTAATAGTGACTACCTCCCAGGGTGGTTGTGAGGGATCAAATGAAGTAATACTTGTATAACACATGGCACAGTGCCTGCCACATAGTAGGTGCTATATAAATAGTAGATATTAATATCTCCCTATTTATCTTGGGTTTCAATTTCCTATCAACCATTTTTGTTCTATCCTCTGCATTTCAAAGCTCCTTCTTAGAAAAGAAAATAGGGGAAGAATTGAGTAAAGCAATTGGTCCTTATGTAGCAGAGCTATCATTCAACTCTGTACCTTCTGATACTGAAACCAATATTTTACCCTCTATAGTACTGCTCAGTTTTATTCAAAATTAAAATTGGAATGCTTTTCAGAAATATTCTACCACCATATGTGGTGACACAGTTTACTAAATGACTTCCCAGAGATCTGAAAATCAATATAACTTCCAAAGGCATTAATTTTCCTGTAGGAGTTACTTTAGGCTTTGAGGGGGAAAATTAATTTGTAGGCAGGTCTGAAAATAGTATTAAAAATATAAGTAGACTGGACCAAAAGGTTTGATTGATTTTAGATACCACCCCCTGTCTGTGTAACTCCATTAGTGACTAGGAGCAAGACTTTCAGTTCACTACTCTAAGCCAAACCACCAAAGAATGGATGGGGGAATTCAGCGCACTCAGTTTTTTTTTTTTCCTACAACATTCAGATAGACTCATACTGCTGCATAGAACATGGGTAAAACTCACAATGACTAAGATCATTTAGACTCTATTTTAGAGTAATGGTCAAAGACACAGCGTGATATAATGCAGGGGTTGTTGACATGAGGTCCTTGAACTGGTTTTTCTTAATATTTTTATAACTATATTTCAATATAATTGATTTCCTTCATAATCCTATGTTTTATTTTGAACTTTTAGAAATATTATTCTGGGAATGGCTCCATGTGCTATGCCAGACTGCCAAAGAGGTTCATGACCCACACAAAAAGGTTAAGAACTCCTAGAGTAATGTGCCTAGGTGTCACAGTGGATAGAGTGCTGGGCCTGGCGTCAGGAAGACCTAAGTTCAAATCCACCTTTAGATACTTATTAGATGTGTGACCCTGGGCAAGTCACTTAACCCTGTTTGCCTCAGTTTCCTCATCTGTAAAATGAGCTGGAAAAGGAAATGACAAACCATTTGTCAAGAAAACCCCAAATGGGGTTTCACAAAAAGTTAGAAACAACTGAAACAACTCAACAACAACAAAAGAGAAATGGATAAAAAGCTGACTTTAGAGTCAGACCTGGGTTCAAGATCTGTGTCTGATACATGCTAGTCATGTGACCCTGGTCAAGTCTGTTAATGTGTCTTTGTCCCCAAATAATCCTATTACTAGATAGAGTAGCAAAGCCGATGCAAATCTGCAGTGGTAGAGGGAGTTTCTTCATTAGGAGATCAACGGTTCATTTCTTCTCCTCCTCCAATGTTTCCCAAATGGTCTGTGACTAGTGGAATGACATTCATAGGTAATACCTTTTGGAAGATAATAATACTTGTACTACCTAAACTGCAACACTGGCTTAAAGAATAAGTAATTATGAAGTGCTTTATAATCATAAAGGGCTATATAAATGCAAATCATTATTATTACTTAAGCATGTGTAGCTGCATTTCAAAATTATACAGTTGTGAGGGACTGCTAAAATGTGGTTGGCACAGAACAGCTAAATTCTCCTTTTGAAATAAAGCTGAAGATGATGATTCAGTAATAAGTACTCTTTTCAATAGGGTATAATCTAGTACCAAGAACTGTGGGTAACAGTATCTTAACCATTTCCAGCTATGTGCCTCAAAATGTTTGTTTTCTCCAAATCAAATGGGACTTTTACAAACCCCTTTGAGTTGGTATTAAGGCATCTGCTTCCCAAGCTGCCTTGTCATTAATTCTTTCTCTAGTTTGATGTCCATGAAAAACACAGAAAAATAGGAAACATGTTCAGAAGTGGAAAATACAGTCCATTTGGGCAGAGTTAAAAGGATGTGGATATGTGCAGCAGTATAGGGCCAAACATGCAGTGGGACACAATAAATGATGCTTTTTAGTATTCCTTTAAATGCACATAGTTTTAACTCCAGGAAATTATGAAATTAAAGAAACTTAAGAAATGGAAGGCACTCTAACCCATACTTGGACAAGAATTCCCTCTGCTACTTGCCCAACAAATGCTTGTTTCGTGTGGAGATTTCTAGTGATGGAGAACCAGCCCCTTTCCAAGGGGATCCATTACATTTTGGGAAGTTTTTCATCACTTTCCCTGTGGAGCCATAGACTTGAAAGCTATTGATAAGTGCCAGGGTGGGGAGGAGAACTTTATCTGATCTGCAATATCAGTAGTATTATTTATAATAGGAAAAATAAAGGACCAGTCATTCAATTAACAAGCATTTATTAAGCTTCTCCTATGTCCCAGGCTTTGTGCCAAGTGTTAGGAATATAACATAAAAATGAGTCTTTGCCCTCAAGAAGTTTATGTTCTACTGGAGGATATAATATGTTCGTATATGACTCAATAGATGATATATACACATAAAGGTATTTCACTTTAGACTTCTGGAAATTTTAAGGGTATAAGAGACAAGTTTTAGAGGCAGTATAAGGGCCCTTCCCATCCCATTTAGAATGTATTTGTACCTTGTAAAGGATGAGCCCCTTTTAGATAGATGTGAATGGATCATTTTGAACTTTATAAAGGATATACATTTTTGAGTAGGCTTGCTTGCTTTTATAAAAGATATGAGGCTTTGAGTGGCTCATTTGCATATCATAAAGCCAAGAATTCAGCTGAGCAGCCAGCAGTGAGAATGAATTTGTCCCTCAGGAATAGGATGCCTAGCTACCTTTTCCTCACCCATTTGCATTTCAGTCATTTTCAGTCCTTTCAGACTCTTTGTGACCCCATTTGGGGTTTTCTTGGCCAAGATACTAGAGTGGTTTGACATTTCCTTTTCCAGCTTATTTTACAGGTGGAGAAACTGAGGCAAACAGGGTTAAGTGATGTGCCCATAGTCACATAGCTAGTAAGTGTGTGAGGCCAGATTTGTACTCAGGAAGATGAGTCTTCCTGATTCCAGGCCCAGCACTCTATCCACTGTGACACCTAAGTGCCCCTCATTTGCATAGACCAAAAGAAAAGACTCAGTTTAAAAAACCGGGGTCTCCAGAGCTATTTAGTGATTGTTGGGTAAATATCCATTACCTAGTTATGGCATGGCTTGCAGAGGTGAAGATTTAGGAAATATACTGCATAGTCACCATAAGTTAGCATGAGGTTTCTCATTAAGGGAACACAACCCTCTACTAAAAAGAGTTATCAAAAGAAAAGACTGGGGTATTGTTTTTTATCTGTAATTCCTAACACTAAGAGAGGTTGAGGGGGTGGATGGCTTGCAGTTATCATTATCCCTTCCCATTGAATAGCAAACATTTCTTGTTGACAATGTGATTAACTGTGGGGATAATGGAAGTCCCTACCCTCAAAAAATTTCTTAGTCAACAATGAAATATTCTATTCTGACATCTAAGATAATTATATGAGTAGAAGATGTTTTATGATTATTCAGCCAATAGAAAATGGACGGGCTTTTAACTGTTTGCATGAGTAAATTAAATGAAGATTTGATAAAAGCATTATTAGATATTTAAGGCAAAAATCATGCTACTTAAAAAGACAGGAAAGTATTTTGGTATGTATCGGTTTCATTGCATAAATACTGAATGCACTAAAGTCTTCATTTTATGCTTAGAAATTCCTGGATTTAACAGATACTTAACCTTCCAGAGAACTGGAAGGTTCTCCCCTCCTTCCCACTCATACACCCTTCCCTCTTTCTCCCTACCCAGTATTTTAAGCTAAGAAATGCAAATGGTAATAAAACACATTGATGCAAACTGTTGTTTCTAGGGGAGGAATTTACATTCCAACTAAAAAAGAAATAAGGTTTCTTGAATTCTTCCTTTTGAAGGAATATACTGTCCCTGGTTTTCACAATTAATGGTTTCTTGAAAATTGAATGTATAATCAAGTTCATTGTTCTGAAGATAAAATAGGGTATTGCAGTTTTAATGAGGTCACCCATTTAAAACTTAGTTTTAGCAAGTAATAATGTACATCATAAGAGACATTAATGAATTTCATAGCATTCTTACAATGTGGTACTAACAATATTGTTCTGTAGCACTTCTAACTCCATATATATTCATATAATGTCTCTAAATAATAATATTGATGCATGAATAATAGACACATAAAGAGAGATACTCATGTGCATTTATTTGTGTGTGCATGGGTGTATCAGGAGGCCCAGACCTGTGATTTCATATTTGTGGGTACCCTCAGTAGGTAAATTCCACCAATGTATATTTGAAACTCATTTGAAATTTACAGCTTCATTTATAGCTTATAGTATTCCGGAGTGGCCTGGGGTACTTTAGGTGACTTGCCCTTGATCACATGAAGAGTGTATGTCATAGGCAGAACCTGGTTAACCTGGGACTCTCATGTTTTAATATTTCTTTTTGAATGGGAAAGCTCTGGGAACCTACTGCATGCATTTGAGAATGCACATTACAATGTTCAATGGCCTTATATAGCCTTTAATGAGACTTAAAACAAGAAGAGGCTATGTTGCCTAGTTATAAAGAATGGAGCTCTATTCCTAACTTAGCCACCCACTTTTCTGTTGTGTCAGATGACATCATTCTCTCATTGGGCTTCAGTTTTTCCATCTGTTAAATGAAATGATACCTCCCAGGGGGCGGGGAGGTAGGGGTAGAGAGGAGGAGGGTAAGCCAGAATTAGTCACAAGGGTATTATGAAGATAAAGCTCTGAAATCCTGCAGGGGAAAGAAAAGGATGCCTAAAATCTGTTTCTTTTCCAGAGCATATGGGTCAGTACCTACATATTTACAATATGTTTCGCGGCTAATGTGGGGCTGCTCTTTGGTGTTGTCTGCACCATAGCTGTTGTGATTGTGCGTTTCCCAAGGTAAGTCATCCTGTTTGTTTATTTATGATCTTTATAAATTCTGGTAAGAAGCCTCGTGTATTTTCTGTCTTCTGTTTTCTTCCTGCACTCTCTGTGATAGCCTAGCTTCAGGCTTTGCTAAGGGTGTGTGAGTGTGTTTGTGTGTGTGTGTAGACATTTAGTTATGTGTGTGTATGTCTTTATATATCTTTTTTGTGCGTTTGTCTCTCCAGATAGATAAGATAGATAGTTCAAATCTTATCCTATAGTTGGCAACTAGAGTTCTATTTCATAGGTAGGCAGGGTTACTTTTTACCTTCATGTACATTCTTGTGTGTGTCTATATATCTACACACATATATATGCATATGTATATATGTGTATATTATATATGTTTGTATAATATATATGTTACATATGTTACCCAAAAATGTACATGAAGATAAAAATGCCCCACCTACATATGAAATAAAACTCTGGTTCTGAACTAAAGTATGAGGAATGTCTTATTACTTGCATCAAATGGAATATGTGAAAGCATGTGAAAGTCAGGAAAATAACAAAACATCTGCATTTTTTGGATTCTGAAGTCATTTCAGAATGTGCAGTTTTGGGGCAGTGTCATCAAATGTCAGTGACACATAGATCACAGGTCAGTATTTAATGGTAAATTGTGTAATTTCCTGTCAATGTTTGCTTATCATCCAAACCCTGCATGCTTAGAAACCAGATGGAATCTAAACTCTGCAGACAATTTTGTAGATTTACAACTCTTTAGGGCCAGTAGGAACCTTAGACAGAGATCATCTGCTTCAATTTCCTCATTTTACAGAAGAGAAAACTGAACTGTTGAGAGAAATCAGTGACTTCCCCTGACCCATCTAGAACGCAGGCCTCTTAACTACCAACTCAGTGCTTTTCCTAATGCATCATATAATTTGTCAAGGACTACACCAGATGCCTCTTTTTAACTGAAGCACGTATGCCTTTGTGACCTATTTTCTCTACCAAGTCTCTCCTCTGACTTCCCTCTCTGACTCATTCTCCCTCTTAACTTTCTCTCCTCTTACTTCACTCTGTGATCCATTCTCCCTCTTGAAGCTCCTTTTGCTTCCCGCCAGGGGCCATCCTTCCTTCTACCCCTCATCACGAGGCAATGGGGTGTATGGATGCAGGGTTGTGCTTTGGGTCAGGGAAACCCAAGTTCAAATTCGACCTTAGACAACTAGCTGTGTGACCTCGATCAAAGCATTCATCTCTCTCAGATACTTTCCTTCTCTGTAAGATGAAGGGTGTGGGTTGGACTCAGTGACCTCTAAGGGCCCCTCCGGTTCTATAACCCCGATGCTATGACCTTCCTCCTCCTTACCCTCCCCTGTTCCCCTTGGCACTCTGATCTACCTTGTTTTCCTTTGGACTCTTCAGCTTCCTCTCCAGAATGATGTGATAACATACATGAAAGGATTGGAAAAGTAAAAAGTACAAATAAGTCCAGTACAAAGTTAAGGTGATATCATCATTACCATTTATTATTATTATCCTTTCAATTTTTCTCCATGATCTTATCTTTCCTAATTTGGTCATTTCTTAGACCCATCTCTGTTGTAAATTTTTCTGACTTTGGTTGCTGGGGTGACGTGGAAATTTGGAAATTAGTAGAAGCAAGAAGTAATAGTCATTGGCCCTCAATTAAAGATCTCTATTCCCATTCCACTACTGTGCCTGAGAACACCAAGGCTAGTCAGAAGATATAGGTTGGTTTCCCATTTCTGCTATTTGTTAGCTGCGTGACCTTGATTGAATCACTTGATATCTATGAAGCTTAGTTCCTTCATCTATAAAATGGGGACTCATAATGCCTGACCTACCTAGCTAATAGGGTAAATATTTTGACGATATAAAGAACAAGTTATTATTAACACAAATCAGCCATTGCCTCAGCAATATTAAACTATCATTCTTTAATCTCTTCTTTTAGCCTTGTTGGGTTGGGTCTGGTTGAATCTAAAAAATACCAGATAATTATTGACTAAGTTTCACTTCAGTGCAGGTAAGTGGCCTAGTAGCCAGACAGAAAGCATCTTCCTGAGTTCAAATCTGGCCTCAAACACTTAATAGTTGTGTGCCCTGGGCAAGTCACTTCACCCTTTTTTCGTCAGTTTCCTCATCTGTAAAATGAACTGGAGAAGGAAATGGCAAACCACTCCAATATCTTTGCCAAGAAAACCCTAAGAGGGGTCACAAAGAATTGGGCACAACTGAAAAAATAAGTTTCACTACTTATGAGCCAATATTTTAAGCAAAGAATCAAGATGAAACCGTCCTTAGACTCAGAGTAGACTTTGCTTCCTCAGAATTCCAGAGTTTAATGTCCAATGTGTGAATAACTTTTTTTTTTATTTTAAAATCACAATTGCACCAAAAGGAGGATAAGCTCAGTTGGACCAATTCATGATTTGGTATTCACGTAATTTATCATTGATGATGAAAGGCTAGGATAACATGTCAGCCACCTAGAAATTTTTCATATTCACCATTAATAGGAGCTTTGAATAAAATCTAACATAATCACTTAATTTTAATTAATCTCTATTTTTAAAAATCTTAAAAACCAGTGGTTAAACAATCTGATCTGATGTATACATTCATAGACATATAAACATTGAGAAAAAAATAAACCAAGACTTCTTTAATTTGACCTTTAAAACTTTTTCTATTTGCAATATTTCCAGAGCCAAGACACTGAGTCTGACAAATATGAAAGAATTGGAAAATAAAGTGAAGACAGAAGTTGAGGGTGTAAGTTTACCTTTCTAATTTTTGTTCCACAATTGCCTTGTATTTTGTGTTAGCTCTTGATAGTTTTATTAGGACTATAGGAGGATTGTAAGAAACTGATAAAGGATGTTTTAAAAAAGTTTTTACCATTGTTTGTTGTGAACAGCACTGTACATATGACTACCATATGTGCAGTTTGTATCTAGTTTTAACACAATCAATCAGTTGAACAAAGAAAGACTTTCTTTTATCTGGTGACTAATCCCAACTGTCAGTAAACAAGACCATACTGGAGAAAAGAAAAGCTACTGTTCACAGGGGAAACATGATCAGAATCAACATGAATATTTCTTTCCATTGCCAAGTGGCCCCAAATTCTCTAACCAAATCTCTAACTCTCATCTGAAATGGAGAGGAGGGAAGATGGGTTGGGGAAAGAAAAGAGAAAATTGGGAATAGGTAGGTAGAAACCTGAGAGGGCTCTTGTGTTTATCTACTGTTTTTAGCGAGTGAATGAGATAACAGTGGCAGTGATGGTGGTAGTGATGATGATGGTCCCTAACATTCCTATAGCATTTTAATATCTGCAAAGTACTTTACATGCATTATCTCATTTGAGGGTCAATGCTATCATTATCCTAATTTTTTAGATAGGTAAACTGAGGAGCAGAGGAGTTTAGTGACTCATACAGAGTCATACAGCTAGTAAATCTCTCAGGTGAGAATTGAACCTACCCCTTTTTTAATCATGAAGCACCTTCTTCACAGTGCCATGGTGTTATTTGGACCTCTGTCATGTGATTGACTTTTGACAGGTTCAGCATCTCTTATAAGAGAATAGCCCGTGATTCTTCAATCTTGCCAACCTGTAGACATGTCTAAAATCCATGTTTTTAATTTTTACCTTCTTGTTCATAGGGGTAAGTAATCCAGCTTGGGGTAGGGTTAGGGTAGGAATGCTAGTTTACATATTTGCCAATTTTTTAACTGACTTCATTTTGAACCTGTCTTGCAAATATTTAGTTAACTTTTTTCCTTGTTATTTTTCAAATTCATTTGTCTCTCTATTTCTAGTTCCTGTCGGAACTGAAAGAACTGGCCCCTTGCCTGAAAAACTGTTTTCAGGGTATTTCCAAATTAGCTGGAAATAGTAAGCCTTAAGAATCCTCCTGAGAAATCTTGTGCTTTTGAAAAAAGATGATTAAACTCAAGGGGTCCCAGTAATTTCTGAGCAGTCATTGATCAACAAGCATTTATTAAGTATCTACTATATGCTACACATTGTGCTAGACTCTGGAGATACAAAAATGAAGCTGTTCCTATCTTTAAGGACTTTAAATTACATCTGGGGAGATACTTGTGCATATATAAGTGTACATAAAACATGCAGAAATAAATCCAGGGTAATTTCAGGAGAGGGAGACACTAGCATTGGGTGAGGAAACAGCAGAGTTTTCATGAAGGAGATGGTATATTTGATCTGAGCTTTGATGGAAACTAGGGATTCTAAGGAGCGGAGGTGAGGAGGAAGTGCATTCCAGGCATAGGAGACAGCCAGTGCAAATGCAAGGAGATGGGAGATGTGTAAAACAAAATAGAAAGAAAGTCAATGTAGCTGGACCAAAGTAAGGCATAAAGTAATGAGTAATGCATAAAAAAGTCTGGAAAAATCAATAAAGTCAACTCATGAAGGTGTAAAATGTCACACAGAGGAATTTATATTTGATCCTAGAGGTAATACAGAGTTTATTGAGTAGGGGAATAGCATCAAAACGTCTGTCCACTTGTTAGAACCACTCTGAGCTCTGAGCCTTGGATGGTTGGTCAGTCTCTAATTTGCCACTGATGCTGCCTTTCTTTGCTTTTCTATACCATTCTTTTCTTTCTTTACTTTTTTTTTTCCAATGTGAATTTAGTACCTCATGAAATGTCCCAGATTGACTGTCTTGGAGCCTGAAGTTCTCCTCACTGCAGGTACAATCCTGAGGGCCAGCTTTGGCATTCTTACCCTCACCATGAAATGGGACATTGGGTACAGGCACCATTCTCAGCTCAGAAATCACTATCCACAAGATGATTCCCGTGCCTTTGGCACAGGAAATGCAGGTCAGTAAGTCATTTAGTCAAGGAGCATTTGTTAAGCACTTGCTGTGTGCCAGGCACTGTACTAAGCACCAGACAGGAAGATAACCAGGGGAATTTGTCAGAATGGAAAGGACAAATGTCGTTCTCCTCACACTTCACTAGGTTTCCTCTGTTATCAAAACATGAACTCTAAAATGTGCCAGATAAAGACCTTGATTATTCCAGAATAAGGCAGTTCAGACCCATGTAATAATAGCTTTAACACCAACAATACCAACAACTGACTGTAGCCCTGGAAATTTTCCTCGGTCTTCCACATACATTCTGTCATTCAAGGCTCATAACAACCCTGTGAGGCAGGCATCTTATCCCTATTTCACAATTGTAAAGTAGGTATTTTAGCAAGCCACTCAATACCATTGCTTTTTTCTTCCTGATCCTAAGAAAGTTAATATTTATCATCAGAAAAAGGGATGATGCAGGGCCAGGGCAGGGCTGGGAGTGGGAGACAAAGTAAACAAACCAAAAATCAAATGGGAATCGTTGGCTTAACTCCTCAAATATTTCCCTTCTTCTATCATGTTCAGTTTCTATTTCTTCACTCTTTAATCCTCAGCCACCTATTAAATCTGTGATGAGAAGCTAGTTCTGTGTATATTACGAATGGGGAAAGATAGTATAGTCACAACTAGTTTTATGAAAAAAAATTACCCCAAACTTTGAAGGATCTGTGTTGTTGTAGTATCAAAGCTGGAAGGGACCTTGGAGATCGTCCAATTTTACCCCTAAAGCTGAGGAAACTAGACCTTAGGAAAGTTAAGTAGCTTGCCCAGAGTCACAAAGCTAGTTCAGGGTATGAGGTAGGATTTGAAACCAAGTCTTCCTGGCTCCAGGTTTAGCTTAGATCCACTCTAACAAGATGCTTACGTAATATAGGAATCTCCTCTACTGATGCAGATCACAAGTCTTCCATGTCTTAGAACTGTGGTTCTCAAACTTTTTTTCTCTCAAAAATTGAGGGAGGACTCCCCTCTCCCTCAAAAGACTTTTGTTTATGTAGGTTAAATCTACTTACGTTGATCATATTAGAAATTTGAATGTCTCAGTATTATCGGGCATGTGAGGCAGCTAGTGACGCTGGGGATAAAGTTCTGGTACTGGAGTCAGAAAGACCTGAGTCCAAATCTGGCTTCAGATACTAAGAGCTACGTGACCTTGGTCAAGTTATTTTACCTGTTTGCCTCAATTTCCTTGATTATAAAATGGGAATAATAATATCACCTACCTCTCAGCATTGTTGTAGAGATAAAATGAGAATGTATTTGTAAAGCTCTTAGCATGGTGTCTGACACATAGTAGGCACTAAATAAGTATTTATTTCCTTCCCTTATTATGAAAATATTTTTGGCCTCATGGATCCACTAAAAGATCTCAGGGACCACTGGGATACCCAGACCACACTTTGAAAACTGCTGCCTTAACGGATAATGTCCATATGTTCCTGAGGCTGAAAAGATTTTTCATCTAGAGTGACATACACTTCTGCTATCAGGCACCTCCAAATTCAGCTAGTTTGCTTCTCAGAAAATGGACATCAGGCTGCCTGTGGTAACACAGGGTAGTAATGCCTATAGTCAGTGAGACTGAGGCTGACAGATTTGAACTCCAGAGTTCTGAGCTGCAGTGGACTAAGCAAATCAGTTATTTGAGCTAAGCTTGGCATTAATATAGGGGAGAGCCCCCAGGAGCAGGGGGTCATCAGATAAGAGTTTGTAAGGGAGAAGAATAAAAATGTCTGGATGTGATTTGTAAGATAGCCAAACTCTATCAAACTGTCCTATGTACAAAATGCCCTCTGCAACCTTTGCATCATTTTTGCAGAGATTTTTCCTCATGCCAGTATAGCAGGGACAATCATAGGAATCCCTGTTTTGTTAGCTTGGAGCACCAACCAATGAGCTGGACTCTTGTACTTGACCTTTACCAAGGATCATATACAACTCCTAATTGATTCCCAAGGGACAGGAAGCATGTTGAAGCTAATAGCTCATTGACAGTTGGGAAAAGGGACTTTTCTGAATCAGAAGGAGATACTCTAGCCTGAGTATAAAGGTATAGAAACAATCCACTCTCACTCTTTTGGGGCCCTTCTATTGGTATGCATGATTTCTCTTTCTTCCCCCTTCCCCTCCTGATTTCTGCCTTTTGGAATTAGTACCTCCAGTCAAAACTCAGCTTAAGTTTTGTCTCCTACATGAGGTATTTTCTGATCCTCCAAATGGTCAGCATTTCACCCACCACAAACCCTATTACTTTGTGTCTACTATCTATATACAGTTATCTCTTCCATATTGCAGGGGTTAGGGGCAGGGCAGCCCCCACAATCTGGAAAATCCATCTGTGTAAAAATTTTTGGCCATCCCTTCATACCAGAGAAGTCTGAATTATTATGGTATTAAAAAAGTAAATATGTTGATATTATACAGTACTGTACATATATTTTGTGCATTTCTAAGTTTCTAAACTTTTTCTGTGTCATCTGCTGGCCTTTACAGTCTCAATTCTCAAATTTCCCATTTAATTTCTATGCTGACCTGCGATATATCAAAACCACAGTGGGGAGAGTCATGATGTGGGAGAGATAACCGTATATTTGCTGTTAATGTATATGCATAAATGTCATTTTCTCCCAGTATATTACTGTTTTAATTTTTGTCTGTGTATATCCAGGGCCTTGCACTTAATAAATAGTTTTGAACTGAATTGAAGTAGGCCCAATAGAGGCAAACACCCCTTAAATATAGCTTTTCCAAACTCAGGAAATATGTTCCCACCAGTTAAAACCACACCACAATGATCTTTCTTTTCCAGAATAGCTTTAAGATATGTTCTAAAGAAAGCTAGTTTCATTCTTCTCATAGGCTGAACCTAAAACAACAGGTTAGCATGCTCACATGGTCTTAATAATGGGTGATTTAGAGTAATCTTGGCTAGTTTAGGACTTCATGATCATTGAATGTGGCATGTCAGGGGCATATTCTTTTGTGGTCTGCTTGTGACTTAACTTCAGTTGAGGTTATTTTTGTAGCTTAAAGCTTGGTCTTGACCTGCTATATAGAGACAATCTAATGATTTACTGAAGCTTAAGCAGACTCTTTTAAAGTCTGAACCAGAGATAGAGATTTGGAAGAGATCCTAGACAGTTTCTAGTTCTGCTCCCTTGTTTTACTAATGAGGAAAATTAGTGCTGGAGAATTTAAGTTACTTGAACAATGTCATATAAGCAGCAACCTTGTTAGCTTCCTTCGGGCATAAGATCATTTTTTTTTATCATTCTGTTTGCTTTTCTTCATCTCCATGTTCCCATTGCATAGCCTGTTTTGAGGTAGCACCTGGATATTAAGAAGCCATTTTTAAAAAAATTTTTTTAAAGCAATGAGGATGTACAATTTCACCTAAATTGCCATCTCCTCATGCCCTAGATGGGGCAGCTCAATGGCAAAGTGGATAGAGTGCCGGGCCTAGAGTCAGGAAGATTCATCTTTATGAGTTGAAATCTGACTTCAGATATGTACTAGCTGTGTGACCCTGGGCAAGTCACTTTACCTTGTTTGCCTCAGTTTCCTCATCTGTAAAATGAGCTGGAAAAGGAAATGGCAAACCATTCCAGTATCTTTGCCAAGAAAACCCCAAATGAGGTCATGAAGAGTGAGACACAACTGAAAAACGACTGAACAACATGTCCTGGATAAGTGGCTGTCAACTACTCATTTCAGGAGTAGTTCAGGAGTTCATTTTCAATGATATGCCCCAAGTTGCTGCCTCCCAAACCCCTGGACAAAGTTGTAGAGCTCTCCTTCCTTATCCACATACCACTCTCCTAGCCCCTACCAGCCCCATTTTCTGATTCCCAGTGAGATAGGTGTGAGGTTGTGCCTCAGACTTGTTTTAATTTGCTTTTGTACAATCAGTAGTGATTTAGAGCATTTTCTCATATGACTATAGATAGCTTTAATTCCTTCTTCTGAAAACTGCTTATGCACATCCTTTAACCATTTATCAATTGGGGAATGACTCTTATTTTTACAAATTTGACCCACTTCCCTATATATTTGAGAAATGAGGCCTTTATCAGAGAAACTTGCTATAAAATTTTTCTCCAGTTTTCTGCTTTCCTTCTAATTTTGGCTGCTTCCTTTTTGTGCAAAAGCCTTTTAATTTAATGAGTTAGAATTATCCATTTTACATTCTTTCCAAAAGAATGCTAACATACACCCTAGATATTAAAGACCTCTAGTGGAGATTAATTAAAATATTCTGACCAACATGTCTTATGGTACATCATCTCTCAAATAGGGAACTATGAAGAAAAAACAAATGACCCAGAAGCCTTCAGTCATGACTTTGTATTTTCCTTAATCTTAAAGATTAATTATCAATATTTTTCAGTCTTGTTAAAGGAAGACGTCATTTCTTTTCCCCAGTAATTGAATGCATAACTCTGAATCTTTGCCTTTTCTTCCCCAAAAGGAAAATTTACAACAGGTGAAAATTATCTCAATAAACAATCCACTTGTTTTCCTGAATGCTAAGAAGTTTCATGCTGATTTAATGAATGCAATCCAGAAGGATAATGCCAATAACCAGCCACCTGATGATATCAACAAGGTAGGACATGCTGTTCTATAATAGAAATTCAAATCAAAGGTCACCTGTTAGAGTATTGTGACTATAACAAAATTAAAAAGTAGATATTCAGAGAAACCTCCAATAAAAACTAAAATGCTATTATCCCTTGTTTTCTAACTTTTATTCATTAGTTCATTAATTCAACAAATTATTTATTGGATGATATATTCAAGAACCTGTGCAGAGGACTTTGGGGGAATAGAATCTGAGTTCCTCAAAAGTAGTATTTCACTCTTTGTATTTATAGCTCGAGTTCCCAATATAGTGCCTAGAATATATTAGGTGCTTAATAAATGCTTGTTGATTGATTGATAAAAGGAAATTACTCAGGGGACATGACAGCTATCTTTAAATATTTAAAGAGCTGAGAGATTAGACATCTGTTTGTTCAGAAGGCAGAACTAGAAGCAAAAGTTTAAGAGAGGGAAAATTAGTCTTGTAAGGAAAAATCTCCTAACAGAGCCATCCAAAAGGGGCAGAGGCTTCCTTGGAAAGCTCAGAGTGTCCCCTCAATGGAACTTTTCAAGCAAAGGCCAGATGACCATATCCTCTGTGTGTATGTGTGTGTATGCGGAGAGAGAGAGAGAGAGAGAGAGAGAGAGAGAGAGAGAGAGA